ACTCAGCCAACACTTGTGTAACCGCTAAACCTCCATCTTTACTTTTTCAGACCAACAAAACCTGCACGAGGAGACCGACGACTTGAGCTGACTTGAGGTGAATTGAGGTGAGTCGAATGTATCACACCGCTAACCAGCTTTTGATTCCTTTCTGTGCATTTGTTTTTTATGTTTAAGAGCAAATATTATCTCATACCATTCTCATATTAATGGACACTGTAGAGTTTATTCTCTGTCTTGTTGTCATAAATGCATTCAAAAGGTGCATTGTGCACAGCTGAATATACCATCAACAAGCAAAACACACACAATTTCCTCCTGTTTGAGTAATATTTGCGAAAAATTCTAGCAATTACTGAGTTTTTTTTCCCCCATTTTGGTGACAATAACAATAATATAAGAAACATATCTGTTATCTTTCTCGAAGAAAAAGCAACCAAATGATCCTTTCGATCCAGACTAGTCATTTATCTCCAGTAAAAACACACACACGCTGCTCAACAAGTTTACTTTCATCACATTATTTGACTCGTGATTCGTAATAATTCACATAAAACAACTATAATCTGATTAAGCTTCGGTACGGATCATCATTCTCACGTCCCAGGGGACTAGTTCTGAATCCCGGGTTGACCTTTGCAAAGGAGGGTTAAGGTAAAGACGTCAGACATCAACAAAAAAGAACCCACTTTGTTAATCTTATGTACATCCATTAAGCATTTCAAAGGAACGTATGCAAAAAGGGGGGAGTTGGTGTCAGAAACACGGGCTGCCCTCTTTGAAAGAAACTTTTAACCTCGAGCGTAAATCAGAATTAAAAGAAAGCAGACGACGGCGGCTCTCAAGCCGTTTGTCAGGAGGCGCTTTTTAACGCTCATTTTCTCTCTCTTATATCCTCGTAAAGTATTAAGCTTCTTAAATAAAGTAAAATTAAGCTTCCTGATGTGGTAATGCGCAAACAGGAAACATTTGATTCGACCTCATTTCCGTCAAATAAATCTGCCAAAAAAAAAAAAAACCCCATAAAATTATTCCCGTTGCTCGCCTTAAAGCTCCGGTATCCCTCAGCTCCGTCTATTGCCTCTTAAACAAATAGACCTTGCTCGGGCTTTTCACTGTGTGTAAGGACTTGTCAGAATAGATGTACCCTGCTGTGGCTGCTGCTCTTTTCACCCCACAGCCCGCGAGGACCGAACAGAGCTCTACTGTGCCTCGGCGGACATTGAAATTCCCCCGCCGTTTGTACAGTGAATTCCATTTCCTCGCCTTTTGATTCATACTTCTTTTTCCTCCTCTTTTTTTTTTTCCCCTCCTCCTTGTGAAGTACCTTTTTGTCCCCTGTTTGAACTTGGGTGAAGAATCGCTCTGCAAATGGAGGTTGGGGTCAGACAAAATGGGTGAACTGAGTGACTTCAGAATAGGAGGGGGGGGATGTATGAAGAATAGCTGCAATGACAATAAAAATACATGCAGCAAAGTGTATGAAGGATCTCCTATTTGATCTCCTAGCAAGTGGGAAGTGTTTTGAATGTTGCAAGAATTAGCAAAAGTTGGTTTTTAGATGAATTTTCTCAAACTATCACCATTAAAACACTTCATATTCCTATTTTACGTCTTTATCAGCCGTAATCCTTCGCTCACAAGACTGATACGCGTCCGTTTGACGCACAAAAGCTAAAAAACGAAGCGCCCTGTTTCTGCCAATCCGAGGTGTCCACACTGGCTGGTGAGGTCAACTCAGCACAGCTTGTTCTCATCGCAGCGAGGTTCATCTATAACTGTATGCGGTTTGTGGATTAGGGGATGAAAGAATGCCACTGACTGTGAAATTGCCTGATTTTTATCGGGGATGTTGGGGAGCAGCTGTGCACAATCCTCTGCCCTAATCTCAGGGCTGGAGAGGGGGACCGGGCGAATCAGGGGAGCCGTGCATGTGTGCCGTGGCCTTGGCTGTGTGTGCCGCGCGCACGCCAAAGGTGTACGCCGGAGAGGTTCTGAGTGGTTGTGTTTATGCATGCTCCTTCACTAGACTAGTTATCCCTGATAAGTTATCCCAGTGTTTTTGCAGCAGTATGGAACCAGCAGCGCCCGAGAGGGACGCGGGGAAGGATTCGGCACGCCACCGAGGCGACAGCTTGGCTTTTCATGTTTCAATTGATAAAGGCCATCACCAGTTAAGAGCTGTGTCATAACAATATTATTGATGCGTTGACTGTATAATCCTGTCGCTCCGCTATCTGACCAAGCCTGATGCCGGAGCAGAGGAAGGAGAAGCCCCCGACCGAGGGGATTTTTAGGGAATTTTTTCAATCCGTGTTGCGTAATCGTGAATGTCTTCTGTCCACTTTTGAAAGACGACTTTATATCTATACGTGCACAGACAGGCGAGAAATTAAAGGAAAAAGCCGGCATAAAATGTCAGACGAGCACCACTCCTCCTGAAGATATCCACTCACTCGGGGAACTTTGCATTGATTTGCAGCGACACTTAACTCTGAAGGGACAAGTGGATCCAAACGATGCCAGCAAGACGTCCCCTAAAGCAGAAGTGAACCACTGCATCCTCTTACTGTCGGGGTCCAGAGAGCAGCTTTTTCCTTCAATTTGCCATCCGGCTGTATACAAACAGAGGCACAGAATACTCATTAGTGTAATATAAGCAGCTGTATATAGTTACTGTTGCAGTTTAAAGAGTCAGAATAAGGTGAAATCTGATTATTTGAAGGGATTACTTTTCAGGAGTCTGCTCTGGAATATAAAATGCATCACTTATTTTTTTATTAGCCTCTGATTTAAAACAAAATACAAAAGCATGTCTGCACACGATAGGACAAGAATGCCTTTTTATCTTAAAAATTTAGCAATAATGTCACATTCACGGGGCACAAATAAGACTGCGATATGTGCGCTAGCAAAAAAAGTTGCTTTCCACTTTTATTTTTCTAACATTTTCTGGTCAAACTTGGAGTGAAGACCACCGTCCAATTTGAAGCTTCAGAACCTAAGATAACAAAATGTTCTGTTAAGGAGCTGCAGGATCATCTGCATTTTGTTTATTAGTTTTCAATCAATTCTGTGGAAAATAAAAGGCCATGAAAGCATCAGATCTTCATCATTCTCCCAGTAAAAGCATCACATTGATTATGTGTTTACATCTGTGCATAAAGTGTTCGTATCCATTCAGAGTGACTCCTGGGTTCAGGCTACATTCATTCACAGTGAAACATGCAACAGCAATGTAAGGACATGCTCCAAAATATTCAAAACGTGTTTGAGTCTTTTCAGTAATACATTGAAACTTACACAGAACAGCATGTTTATCATCCTGTAGTGAAATGCATTAAAAGTAACCCTCCTGATAATCAGTGGGTCAGATGATTGTGTGCAGCATGAAAGGTGTCATTCATCGTATGATTTATCATCAAACTCTGGGCTCCTCTCAGCTCTATAGACTCATTTTGCATTCTTCAACTCACTGTTTGGGTTTTTAGAGATCAGAACTTTACTGTTTTAGTACATTCTTACTGTGAACATCAATCTTGTTTGGAAACAGGAGCTAAATTGCTTCTATAAACCCACATTAGCTGCTGTTAGCAACTAGATCACATTCACAGTAAATAGTTCAGCAGCTGAAGAACCAGATAGTTTCCAGTGGAGATGGTGGAGACCAAAACGGAGCTAAAAGCGGAGTAAATATTGGATTTATATTCCTCAGAATTACAATTGAAGGCAGCAGAAGAACACTTTTAACACAGTTTTATCCCTTTTTAGTTTGAGCATAGTGCTAATAAAACATGGGTCCTAAAAATAGCTTGTGTTAAAGATTCCAGAGTATTTTTAATAGTATTATAATGAGGTGCAGTCAGACCATTCTGTGCTGAAGTATAATCTGCACCTCATTGAAAGGGTTACTTTTACACTGTATTTCACTACAGATGACTGACATATTAACATATTTTATTAGACTAATCAACGTGAGTAACATGTTTAAAATGATCATGATTTACATTATTACAGCACATCCTAAAGTGCAGGATGGTCTTCCCAAACCAGACCAGTTAAATACAGACAGAAAAAATGTACACACTAAAAACTACAGGAGGTTAATTCTGCATAATTACAGCTTATGCATGCAAAATGTTAGTTTTTTGCTGTAAAATGTGAATTCTCACAAAATGTAAATACTCAAAATTGCATCTACTGTCACCATTGTTGCATTTAGATCATAAAATAATAAGTTTACAAGATAGAAAGTGTCACTTTAAATCCAACTAAATTATATCGTTAGATTAATTTGCATTTCAGAAATATTGTGAGGATTTTTTATTTTTTTCTGAAAGTGAATATAGAGTTCAGGGTTGTGAAACAGTCGCTCTTTGATCCCTTTGTCTTTGATGCTGCCTACATATAGAAGCATGTTCGGTGTGGGCGACACATGTCACTGAAGTTCTCCAGCTCCCTGTCTCTCAGCGACGTGGGAATGGTTCCTTGCGGTTGGCGCTGGGATATTTGCATACGCAGTGATTGGAGGCCCTATCTCGGTGGCCATGCCCGACGCACCGGCTGAAATATACTCAGCAGGTGACAGGCAAACATATGCCTCAAATGCCATGGGGTCCTGAAGCCGGATCATCTCCAAAGGCTAACTGGCAGGTCTAAGTAGGGACGGCATTAATACATATTATTCACAAAGAGCATGATTGAACAGAAAAATGTGCCCGGCGTGTACCCAGCTGCTTTGTTGGCACACAGCTCAGCCTCTGCCTGGGTTTCAAGACCGAGCTTGGATTTAGCCATGCATTCACTGAATTCCCCATGCAGCTCTTATTCATTCATTCAGGCACAGGCAGGCCTGTACCAACAAACTGGTGTCTGTGTGTGTGTGTGTGTGTGAGAACCAGTGTGTGCCAGCTCCCGAATAGTTTGTACATGACGGCAAATTTTGATTTTTGACATGTATATAAAGTTTATTGCGTTTACAAAAAGGCCTTTAATGCTACACCCACATTTCTCCTCGTCCCAGTGAGCAGACTTATACAGACTTCCTCCCACGGTGCTTCATCTGCAGGTTAATCCTGACGTTCCTCGGCTGATCTGTGACCGAACACGTGCTTCCTGTTTGCGACCGCCGATGTTCTCACCTTCTGCGTGTGAGTGTTTTTACTTTCCGTTTACATTCTCCAGCATGTATGGATACAGTTTTTTTCCACTGCTCGCCTCGCAGCCAACAGGAGGTCAGCAGGTGCTTCTGTGCTCACCAGATGTCTCCGTGGCTTCAGACTGAGCGGCGCGGCGGACATGTTTAGAGATATGGCGCCCTCTTGAGGGGGAAAGTTCTGGGGAAATTTTCCCTGGAGCGTTGGCACATGGAAATCAATCAATCTTACCGTTTAAAATCAGATAGATTGTATCCTGCTCAGGTGGTTTACTTCAAAATAGCTGCAAATATTGAAAACTTATGTGCAGGTATTAGAAAAAGAACCTTTATTGGGTGGTTTAGTAGTAGAAGTAGACGTTTTACTAGATTAGAAGATACTAAAAAACTGCATTTGCGTTCGTATACTTTCTTTAAATGAGAATGTGCTTTAAAAAGGAGAACATAATAACCATCACTTCACTTCTTAATGGGCTGAGAAACAAAACAAAGATAATACAAGTTGAAAACACACACATTTCGTATTAAAACAGATTAGATGTGGTACATTTGGTGAAGTAATAGGATCTTTGTTGAGTGACGGAGCCTGAAAATAAGAAAAATGGAACAAAAGCGATGAGCTCCACTGAGTGTTTTAATCACAAAATGTAATTTGAAGTTTTTTTTAAACACTCACCTTCACCGTTTGTCGGCTTTCCGAAAGAAATTTGACTGTAAATAACATAAGAGGACGCATCTCGTCAGTGTATGTTTGTGCACTTCAGCTCCAGTCATGTACATTTACGCTAACTTGTGCCAGACGTGCCTCTTGGCAGCCGAGGTGAACCTACCTGCTGTCCTTTTAGCGGCTTGCTGTAAAAATCCGACTCCGCTGGTTGGCTTGCTCTTCGACTTTCATTCACCGTGACACCTGGGGGGGAAATGATCCAATATGCACTGCTGAACGGAGAATTGTTCGGTAAAAAGGAAATAAAGAACTCTCATTTAGTGCTAGTGAAACTCACTAGATCAAAACACAGCGCTGTGGATTTGATTAAATAACGCCTCCCCCGAGGATTAATTCCCCACCAGTGCAAGCGGGACTGGAGAAACTACAAAGGCATGCAAACACAGGTTTCCTCTGTGCACTCTGAGATAAGTTTTTAGAGACTCACTTGGCGGGTGATGAACGACGTTGATTTTATCTGCGGGGAGAGAAGACTTTCTGAGCCGTTTACAGTGCACGCTTTAATACAGCCATTTGTAATGTGGCTATTTGTCCCAGTTACCTGCGCCGCATAATGTTTGCACTCGTGTTAAAGTTCTGGGAAAAACTAAAGTCTGTGGCGCCTCTCTGTGATGACAGTTTAGCCCCACATATCCAGGCTGGAAGAATATTTACCATACACACTGTCATCCTCCTCTCCGTTGTTGACGACGCTGGCTCTCGGATGACTCGGCTTCTCCTGCAGAGACAAAGATCAGAGCTTTAATATGACGCTCACGTACGGAAAGCAGCGGGTTGCTTACACACTGTGAGATTTTCATGATTTATCTGCGCTACGTTCTGCACAAGCTGGGGAAGGAGAAAAAAAAAGAGCAGGCCGAGGTTTTGCAGCTTGGTCATAAATCTTTCGCTGCTTTCGCGGAGGTCCGAGTAACGTCTAAATAATGCAACAACAGAGCAGGATTAAAGAGTTTGTACCGATGCTCGACTCCATTTCAGGGAAAAATATCGCATTTATTGCTCCTCTGCGTGTATACGACAGCTACGGTTTATAATCGCAAATTCAGATTTACACACTATTTACTTACTAAAATCTGTATTATTTAAAGCAGTATTTTTTGGTTTGTGACAATCTGATGCCGTAGACTGTATATAAAAAATCAAGCACAGTATGATCCTTCACATATCCTTCTTAATCATCTGTTTTATTCTAAATGGGAATATAATTTGCTAAATTAACATCATATTGTATTAAAGGAGGATTAAAACTTGTGATTGAGACCATAAGCTTGTTGGTGAAATGTTTTCTGAGGGAGCAAATTAAATGAGAAATTGGCTCATTTTCTCATAGACTTCTACACAATGCAGCCAGACGAGTCGCCTCCTGCTGGTTGTTTGATAGAATGCAGGTTTAAAGGTCAAGTTATGGTTTCCGCCTGACTAATGCCGGCTTCGAAAGCAGACAGTGGACATGCACTTGGTTCTATTCATGCTACTATGAATACAATTTGCAGAAGGCCGTATCCTATCGACAATGTGATGTTTCTCGAGAACAGGACTTGTGGAGAATTTCGACCCTGGGCTCGGTCAGTGGAAAACATGCACAAATCAAAGCTCCTCAGCAGCGACTACTTCAACTATAACTCTTTAAATGATGAGCGAAACAGGTGAGAATCTCCTCATGACAAGCATTTATTTTAAGCACCACATGTTTTCTGGAGATGTTGGGCTTCAGTGGGGTTCACATGGACCCTCGTGGGTTTGGGTGGAGGATTAAATTTATGTCATGTTTACCCTCACAGACAGAAAACATGAATTTACCTCGAAGCGGCAGCACATTTAACAGCTTCATCTATCTTTTGGATGCAGTCCTTTGTCAAGATGGAGATTTCTATGAACTGTTGTGGCACCAAAGAGCGATTTCTCCTCTGAAATTCTTAGATTTTGTCATTCAATAGCTGTTCCAAGAGGTCAAATTATTAACATTTCTCAACAACAATAAAAAAGAGGAGCTTTTTATCTTCTTCCCTTTTCCATTAATCATCTCAAAAGCATTCATCTTGTCACACTGAGGAAGGACCAAGACCCATAGGTTAAGAACCACTCAGCGACGCTCTATAAAGACATTTTCAATACATAAAAATCCAATTACTTCATATACAATGAATGTCCAATCACAGAGGCTGTTCTGCTGCGTTAGAAGTGCTTTATTTTTGATCTTCTCAGTACATTTCGGTGCTAATATTCGATACAAAACTTCTTATATTGATGGAGTTTAACGTTAATGCAGTGCTGCTTTGATTTAAGTCAGACAATATTTTGTCCACCACATTTGTTATTTCCGTGTTGTTAGTGTTTCACTTCACAGTCTGCCCTACGCTCAGCAGACCAGACGCTGTGTGTCGTCACCGCAGGAAATGCACAGGTGTTACTAATAACATTAACAATGTGTCCCAGTTAGACCCGTCACACCACCAGGACCCTGAAACCGAAGCAGCTAAATGGAATTCCCCCGTCATCCACTTTATTATTTCCTACTGTGACGTGCCAAAACGTCACCTGTAACAAAAGACAGATGGAGGCTCAGCACTTCGGTGTAAATTAACATTCATATTAACAACGGCGGCCCACTGTCATGCTCTTGTTTTCTTCTCGCCTTGTTTTTTTCTTTTTAGCCGTTTGCCCCACTGCCTGTCTGCTGCACCGCCTCCTGTCACAGCAGAGCGTCCGTCGTTCCCTCTCTGCCCAGCAGGTGTCCTCAGCTCCTCCTGCTGCTCCTGAGTCACCTGATAATGAACCGCCTGCACACCTGTCCCTCATTTGAACCACTTACTGGAGCGTACACAGGCCCGCTTTCACGTCAGTCTTGGTTTTCACTCAAGGAGCAGCTAGAAATCCTTTTTACATCAACAGCACAGCCTGCATCTCGTTTTTATGTCCACATGACAGTAAGGTTCATTACAAATATATATAATATATATATATAATAAGATTTTTATTTGTCGTGGTATTTTTTTTTTTTTTAGCATTTTGCCTTTTTAGCAGTCAAAAACAAAAAAGATTTAATTAGTCACTTAATAAAGGCAGTGAAATGAACACAAAACTGGCCAATCACTGATGCTGTAATGTCAAGTGTGCACTGTTTAAAAAAAAAAAAAAATGTTGGCAGAGAGGCTGCCAAAAATCACTATAAAATAAAAACTATTATTTTATATTTTTATATTTTTCCTTAATTACAATACATTGACTTTTCTTTGGCGTTAGATTTTGGCCTCAATTTTAAATTAGATATTTTTTCTTCATTTTTTAATGTTTTTTTTTTGTTGTTGTGTTTTTTAATTTATATGTCAAATAATGAAATCACCTATAATATATGTATTTATAATAAGAAAGATTAAAAATGGTATTCTTTATTGACTATCGTTGGGTAAAACTGTAATTATACAAGATATCGCTCATTTGACAAACATAATTTATTTATAACATAATTTGAATATATAATAATAATTTAGTATAATATATATAATAATGCAATATAAAATTAAATATATAATATAGATTTTTTTTAGATTTTTGTTTTGGTTATTGTGACTAATTGCATCTATTAACAGATTTAAACTTGAATTTAAATATTAAATTTAATTATTAAAAAAAGGAAATATCATGATACATTTTCTACATGCTAGTCTTTGTATGTCAAAAAATGTCAATATTCTAAAAAAAATTGACAACATGTTATTTTAAATTAAACACATAAATTAATTTGATGTTTTTGTAATTTTATGGACATTTTTGTGTATTTTAAAAATATGGAAAACAAACAGTAAATTAAAAAGAAAATATTCTGTGAAATTACTTTTTTTTTTTTTTTTTACTTTGTAGGATCCTCCTCACACATTTCTGTCCTCTCTGGTTTGCCATCCACCTCCCAGCAGCCACACCAGTTTGAATGTGTGGCCCATCACTTATTTCTTTGTCCTCTCTACATGAACCTCAGATAATTAGTGACCATTTCCTTTCTCCAGGTGGACGGTCGGCTGCTCAGCACCTACGTTCTGTGTTTCATGAGCGACAGATGTGACGCTTGCATTCAGGTTTATTCTTGCGTGCTTTTCCTTTCAGATGCCGTCATGTGTGCGTGTTCCCAGTGTGAGCTCGTCCTCCTACCTGCTGCCTGCCGTCCACGGCCCTCTCAGCAGCGTCGTCCACGGTGAGTAGACCTGACTTCACCCTCTGCTCAGGGAGCTGCTGAACTGTCTGGTTTGGCTCAAAGGTGTCGTAGGTGGAGGTTCTTCTGTCTTCTCGGCCGCGTGCTGCAAAGAGCAACAGATCTGTGAAGACATCTGCTGCTTTGAATGGTCAGAAAATCATTTTCCACATTTTTATTACCAGGCAGTATAAATAAAAAAATCCCTAAACATGTGAAGGCAAGTCAACAATGTGGACTTCATACGAAACGTCATATATGTAGTTTTTTCATAATAATTTTTTTTCTGAACAATTTTATTGATTTATTTTACAGATTTTCCCTGTTTTGTTAAATTACAGATAATAGCTAAGAAAGCCAAAGAAGAAAAGTATTAATTTACATTTTAACCATTAAAAATAGACCTCCAACTGTAAGTAATGTCCACAGAAAACATCTGTATTTTTAAAATGGCATTTGTTTTTTTTATTTCTTTATTTTTACACATTTGACCAACAAAATTACACCATTTTTTATTGTATTTAAATCAGCAAAAACTATAATTATTTACAGATATTAACAATCATTTGAAAAAGAAATTATGTACATTTAAAGACTGAAAAATGGTCTATTATTTTATAGATTTTCCCTGTTTTTAAAAAAAAAGAAAATTATAGATAGTAAATAGTAAAATAACAGAAAAAATATTAATTTACATTTTAATCCTAAAAAAAACATAAAAAAAAATCCCCGAAACTGTAAATGATGTCTTCATCCAAAATATATATTTTTCCAAATAGTTATTTCACAATGTGTGACCATTAAATTACACTGTCAGCTAAAAATATTGTTATTTTACAGATATTATCCTGTTATTTAAAGAAAAAACATGTATATTAACCTGTTAAGACCCGAGCTCTTGTTTGATATGCATTTATGCAAATAAAAAATATAAANTATTAACAATCATTTGAAAAAGAAATTATGTACATTTAAAGACTGAAAAATGGTCTATTATTTTATAGATTTTCCCAGTTTTTTTTAAAGTATAGATAATAAATAGAAAAATAACAGAAAAAAATTATTAATTTACATTTTAACCCAAAAAATACATTTTAAAAAAATCCCCCAAACTGTAAATGATGTCTTCATCCAAAATATATATTTTTCCAAATAGTTATTTCACAATGTGTGACCATTAAATTACACTGTCAGCTAGAAATATAACTATTTTGCAGATATTTTCCTGTAATTTGAAGAAAAAAATATGTATATTATTAAGACCTGAGCTCTGGTTTGATATGCATTTATGCAAATAAAAAATATAAAGAAAATAAAAATATATTTTTAAAAAATGTTAAAAAATATTTTAAAAATAAAATAAAAATAAATAACAACAATAATAAAATAATACTAATAAAAACTATTTTAAAAAATTAACAACTGTGGTAATATAACCCACAATGTGATGCCCGGCATGAGAGGATTTAAAAAAAAAAAAAGGTTTAAAATGTTATTTTAGAAATTTAACCTGTTGTGTCAAATTATTGAACATCTAGTATAAACAGAGATTAAAAAAAATAAATAAATAAAAAATACTTCCAAAAACTGTGAATAATGTCCACATCATAAAATCTATATATGTTTTTTTTGTTTGTTTTTTTAATACATTTTAAAATCTGCTTAAAATTACAGTTTTATTGTCAGAGAAAAACGTTCGTATTTTACACATATTTGCTGTTACTATTTCTTGTTTCTGGCTGCCTAGCTTCACCACCCCTTATGCTGAGTCGTCCATACACTGTGGTCAGGTTTGTGTGTTTGTGCGGCGCATCTGTAACTCCAGCGGATTATCAGTAATTTTCTGGGTGACTGTGATGATCTATGGAGCTGTCATTCAGTGTCACCGGCGCAACAGCGAGGCAGATAAACGGCTTTGCATCCCTGCAGGTGCTCCGTTCGCTTCCCTCTCTCGTCGGCTTTTGTTCAAATGTGCTACCTGCTCGTTTTATGGCTTCTTTTTACTGTTTGTGTGCCCATTACTTTGCTGCTATAATGACTCATTTCCCCGCGGTGATCACTGCAGTTTTAATTAATTTAGTAACACACCACAAATTATTTAAGGGTGTCACCATTAATTCAGAAGGTAATTCCAACAGGACATCTTGGGAGAGTAGTCAGCAAAAAACCACTGGCACGGTGGAAGTCCTGCTACGGTGCTGAGTATCTGTAGATCTTAAAAAGATAACCCCAATAGAGGGGAAGTTTTTATGGAAGCAGAAATTCACAGGCCTCCTATTCTGTTTGATATTCTTTGTTTGCTTCAGAACTGAGGGCCGCAGCAGTCTTTTTGAACGTCAAGAGCAACAACACGAAAGCTTTTAAAGCGTCGCGCATTAGCTTGCAGGTGACAAGTTAGTCAAGCCTGAGAGAACAACCCCCGGTGGTAGACTGCATATAATCAGGATTATCTCAGCGTGGCCTCGCAGATTTTCAACAGAACGGCTGCACGACTAACCGAGAGCGTGGAGTCTGAAAGATGCAGATGTTTAGTGCGACAAAAAGATGCTGTTGAGCCGTAAAGTCTCAGAGGTTGGGATAAGTTAGTGTAGCGGTCAAAGAACGACTAAACAGCTCTGCAGAAATAAATTCATCACAACAACTAATGGATTTCTGATCTGGATGGTGATGCTATTAGAAAACTACATGTGCAGTGAGCAGAGTTTCTGACCCAGACGTTGAACTGCTATGTCACTGTTTTAACATGTTTAGATTCAGTCACACTATTAAATAGGAGCTTGACTTTAAGGAATTATATCACAAATCCAACCTCAGACTGTCATATTGTTGGAAAACATTGCTTAAGGTATGAGATATGATTCTACGCATAAAAATAGGCACACATTATATGATTATAGATGCAGCAATGCTTAAATTACACTTAACTGTTCACCCATTGCTTTAATTATTTGCATTAATTATGAATCATCGATTTAACCAAATAAAACCTCATCTCTGTGCATCAAATTACATATTTACAAGGTTTTTGTCTGTTTAAATAACCCCTTTCTGCCCCCAAAAAGGACTCAGATGTAGCTCCTTTGTGCAGATGAAGAGCTACAAAGTCCTTGCATATTTCTGCAGCCACTCCTCCTGCAGCTCCAGCACACCAGCTCACCTACACGTCTGCTCAAACGCTGTTAAACTGCTCTGCGTTATGCAACGGCAAGTTTTATTATTGTAGAAACTCAGCTGCACATGTTCACAAAGGAGCTCTTTAAATCTTTTGATGCATTAGATGAAGTTATTTTTTTGGCCTTTATTTGATAGTGAAGTGAGAGAGAGACAGGAAAGTGGGGGAGGAGGACATGTGGGAGAAGGTCATGAGCAGGATTCGATCTCATGACCTCCACATCGGGACTGTAGCCCTGCACATGGGACGCTAGCTCAACCAGGTGAGCTGTAGCGGCGCCCTAATGCATTTGATTTTATGGCGTTTTTTCATGTAATCTACAACTGAAAAGTAACTAAAGCCATCAGATGAGGGCCGGGCAGTGAAGGTACCTCAAATTTGTAGAGATCTAGATCAGTGTAATCACTAAACGTACCTTGTTTAGTGGGAAGTGAGTAGAGATCAGCATCGCTTTGTGAAGCCTTCATCTGGAACACTGTGAACAGAGAGCAGCTTCCAGTCGCATCATCAGCACAACAATAGATTTACTTTTATTCAGCGTATACCAGAGTGATGCAAGCCAGAGCTGATTGGAAAGGTATTATTTTTTGCCCCTGCATTTTAACTGTCCTCCCACAAGATGGAGCCATGGACTAAATTTAATTAACAACCTCCTGACTGACTGTTCAGCTGAGTGAGAAAAACAAAACAAGAAGAAGAGAAAAACTTAGGACTGGCTGAAGAATTATAAATATGATGAAGTCTGAAACTGTGCTAATATATAACTTTAAAAAATGGTGCGTATGAAAACTCAGAACTGTCAGAAACAGAGCCACGTCCAGCTCTGGATTGAATTATCCGCCCTGGATGATGCTGCTGGTTTGGTGGTGAGCGCTCAGAATGAAAGGCTGCACTGTTCAGCTGTCAGAGGCGGCGGAGCTGCGGCCGCGCGACCGACCACGGATTAAAATTCACCATCCACACCCCTGGAAGATAATCCCACCTCTGACTGCTTCCTCCGTGACAGCATCTCTCTCTCTCTCTCTCTCTCTCTTTTCCACTTCAAACCTGGCTCACGGCACAATCCCGGCTTTATGGCTCCATTCAGGTCGGAGCTTCCGTGTAGTTTACATGTCGGGTAATTCCTCCCTATAGGGCCCCGGCTTCATTCACGTTTCTCGTTGAGCTGGAGACGCTGCTAACAAAAGCAAGGAGTCCTCATTATTTCCACTTGTGCAGCGTTCTCCAATAACCTGGCTCCTCGCCTAATCCTCCAGCAAGCCTCATCTCTCCTCTCACATCTCTCAGTGAGGAGCAAAATGTGATCCTTGTGTGGTTTGAAGCTCCACTGTCTCAATAGATGGAAACCTCAAAATCCCTCTCCCCTTCTCCTGCGCGCTCTGGGGACAAGGACGATGGAAAACATGTGTAATGACTTATTCTGGCTGACTTGGCCTTGGTCGGGCCAAGATTGGTTGCAGATGGCAGCCCCGGTAGTTCCCTCTCTATTACTGAGGGGATGGTTGGGATACAGATACTTGTTTTGCTTTGTAAGTCCACTGGGGAGAAGGTTGGCTCGCCGAGATGCAAGCGAGCTCAATAAAAAGCCGCATAATGGGGGGCGAGAGCATCTACCCAGCATCTCTAATCATTTTTTTTTTGTGTGTTTTGGATGCAAGAGAAAAGTGTAATATGTTCTATGGGAATAACAATTAATTGCATGTTTGCATTTGTGGGGGAAAAAAGAAGCAAAGTCACAGCTGTTTAATGATTTATAAGCCTTAATAATACCACTGACTTTTGGATGTTTCGTCTTCATGAAATATTCACGCTGCTGAAATTGAACAGTTAGGGACTTGTGGGCAAAGGCAAATGGCTCTTTTCTCCATCCTCGCTTTTGTTTGTTTTGCAACGGGGAGCGACTATGTTCTTGTGGTTTATGGAATCAAAACAAACTGTATCGCAACAAAAAAAAAAAAGCCTCTTCGCTCTATTCAGCAGCACTCCACTGACAATGGCAACACACATTCCAGGCACTACCTCCCTCCCACGTGAACTCCCCCCTCCGCATAACTCAGCGTTTTGTTTTTTACTCCACAGTCGTGTATCTGTGTTGGAGTGAAGGGAAGCAGAGAGGATGCAACCAGAGAGAGAGAGAGCAACAAGTCGCCGCATGTTGTTACCTTGAGCGATGTACGGGGTTCTGCTCTCCTTCACCTGGGTGCTCTCGGGCCGGGGCGTGGGCGCCGGTGGGCGATTGGCGATGAGCACCGCTTTTGTGGAGTTGAGGAAGGTGTCATATTCGTCACTCATCCCCAGCGGTGCGTACAGATCCTCATCCTCCCCCTCTTTGTCCTCTTTCTGTACGTCTGCGATGGAGAGATTCCCTAATGCACAAAGTGTTTACTGCCTCAGTGTCATAATGAAGCTTCTGCACGCTGGGTTTCTGCTGCAGCTGATCGGAAGCTACATGTCCCCCCCCGCCATCAGCGAGGGGAAACTGTTCAGTGGTCGGAAATGAACGCAGCGTAATGATATGCTGGAGGAGGGAGGGATGGGGAAAAAAACAATTCCATTACTGGCTTTCCCTTGTCCTCCCTCCACTTCCCATCAGGCCCACACTCACCTGCATTGCACATCATTTCGTAGACACTGGAGTCACCATTGTCCTCGTTTGGGTTCAACATATTCTGCAAGAACAGAAGAGATGTGCTTTCATTCAAATCACCCCAACAGAGGGGCTTCGAGGATGTTGTGTTGGACATTTGCAAGAGTGGATTTTTGTGTTTGGCAAATCTCGACTCGCTGCACTGCTTGTAATTCTGGTAAAAAAGAAGTGAATTCATCCTTGGCTCGCTCAGCACGCTGCTAATTTTCTCACCTGTGTCCTCCTTCCAAAGGCACAAAACCTAAAAGCACAGATGACTATCCACCAACCACCCTCTGCCTCCGTGCGCCGCTTTAATATTCAGCGTTTTCATGTCGGCTGTGACAAACGTCCAGATTATTAATTGAAGGCTTCGCGCCGCATCTGTTAGGACTTGCGGGGAAAGCGTTTTTTTTTCTTTTTTCAGAGCTATAGCATGAATTCACGGAGGTGTGAGGTTGCGCGGTGACGCCGGCTGCCGAACAAAGCTGCCGCAGAGTCGTCCTTATTTGCTAATGGCGCGCTGAGGGACAGGCAGGGGTATGATCAGGGTAATTAAGAAATCAGACAATCTTCCCCTTTCAGTCCAAACATATCATTTAGCGAGCAATTCAAGACCCTTGACTTGATGTCTGACTGCATCCATAATTAGATATAGATGATGATTTGCTGCCAACTTCTGATGAGGAACCTTCTTTATATTATTTTGAGCTATTTTAACCGCTATGTGTTCTAACTATATTTTTTATACCGCCGCTCTTGTATATTTTGCATCCAGACAGATTGTGTCAACAAAACGCTCCATCATAATACACATGACAACACCTCAGGATTATATCGGACTCCTTCTGTCAGTTTAAGGGGATACTGTATAGTCTAAATTCAATAACAAAGTCCCAGGCAATAATATAAATCTGCAGAATATATGAGATACAGCTCACTTGGTTCAAAATATCCTCCACACAACACGCCCTGCTCTGTGTGCTGTTTCCAGGCAACACAGCCAATCATGACTCAATTACAATATTACACTGTTCCCGGCGTTGCAAATTACTTATAGGCTGCCATGAATGCATTACTTAACAGTGGAGGTTCGCAACAGGCCCAACAGGTAGAAGGGACGGGTTAATTACCGCCGCGTGAATATTGAATTTTAATAGTCGGATTCCGCGCTTAAGCACAGTGTGGTATTTTCAGAGGTAATGTCTGGACAGGGGAGGGGGTATTTATTTACTAACCGCGGACGCTAAATCATTTTACAGATGTCTGAAGCTGCAGGAGCCTCAGGCATTCCACACAAATTCACCGCCGCAGTCCAAAGCAGCAGCAGCAGCACCTCAGACAGAAACAGCAGGCACGATTCGGTCGGAGGGAGAGCAGATCTAGAGCGACTCTAGTGCGGCAGAAGGAGGGTATATTTGTCTTCAGCAGCAGCCTGAAATGGTCAATTCTCAAGCTGGCCGCTCTGAGCTCTCAGCGCCGGCATGCTCGCCGCCTTTAGTGGCGTCAGGATGAGAGGATTCGACGCGATGGCAGATTGTAGAGTGAACCCCATCACACGAAAGCACTTAAAAAACCCGTCTGACTTGGGGTATTGTTTGGCCAGAATAAGAAATATTTCACACTAAACTGTAGTTAGCAGGAGACCGAACACGAGGCTGCTCCTCAGCACCGTGAGCTAATTGCTGATGTCAGTCTGCTCGCAATGCTAACAGGTTGCAGCTAGCAGTTTAGCATATTAGCATGCTGACGTTTGCTAATTAGTAGCGAATGCAGCATCCTGAGCCGCAAAGGTCAACCTCGTTAAGGAACTGGAGGAAAAGTCAGCAAGTTAGTGGATTCACTGTGTGGCCGCCGTGGATGTATTCAACTTAAACACACTGAGATGTTTCACTGGATGACGATTAAAACTTTGCTCAGCTGCTCGACGCTTGCAAAGAAAGAAAAAGGTCAGAAGGCTTCATCGTCTTCATCTTCCGTTAATGTCTCAGCACAAAGACCCATCCACTGGTTGACATATTTGAGTCTAGACCAAAGACTTACATTAGCATTCCTGAAGCAACTCTGCTAGCGTGGCTAAAAACACACGCTATCTTTTAAAAATTGGCAAAATAACACAATTTTTCCAAAGTTAGAAATAACAAAAAGAGAAACGATCATCGGACTTGAACTTTTCTTGAAACTAATTATGTGTGACATGCAAAATAACTAAATCTGAGTTTAAAATTGTGGCTTTTTAGTCAAATCGCTTAAAAAATGCAATTAAAAAATGTTTGCACTGAACTGATTCTGTAAAAAAAAAAAAGAAAATCTGTGCACCTCAGCGCATTAATGGTTTAGCTTCGTGAGACTTTTAGCGACTATCCGGTTGAGGCAATGTTTACGCAGACCAAAGATTACACTATAAGATTGAAGGGAAAATTAAATATACCAGATCAATCAAATGAATTCAGCATCGCTCAAAAACAGGATGCAGCAGAGCAAGTTTCCAGCAAGTTGTTGGAAGATATATTCAGCACGGTGAAATATCTTCCACTGATGTGCAGAGCCGTGGGAAAAATGCAGATTTTCTAGAGCTTGAGAAAATGTAAGTTGTTAAAAATCATCACATTTGTTCTTTTTTCCAGTACTGGGTGCAAATGTGGGCAGTTTTTTTTTTTTTTGTAAAATACATGCATAATCAATCACTTTCATTTATTCTTTTATTTTGAATGATTTATGGCATTATTACTGTTGCCTTCTGCACAAATGTCATCGTGAGTTTCTCTCTAATTCCAGCCGCGGTTGTGCTGTTTCCATAGAGATGCAGGACTTTGTGTCGCAGCGAATAATGAGCTGACAGTGAGTGAAAATGTGACGGGAGCAATAAACGCCTCGGGTTAGCGTAAAAAGAATTACGCCGTAGACACGCAACATATACAATCTGAGGTGCGAAAACTGTTTTCTTTACCGACGACAGTAGCATTCAAATGGTAAGCAAATGGCGGAAGTTTGCGGTAAATACCTCAAACAAACCTGCCATGCAAAGCGAGGTGGGTGGAATGGACAAATTCCTGGACTATAGGATGTTAGCTGATTTGGTTTTCCTGAATTTGGATAGGAGTATGCTGCACACACGCACAGTATGCAAAGCGTAAATAGCTCTTTGTAGGGCCTTACAGTTGCAAACTAATCTGCATCTGAGGGGTGCGCTGTGAAATCTTGAGTCCGTCTAAATGCCAAGTGACACGCAGCCGGAGTCGCGACCCGGCATTAAAATATTAAATAAGACCCGGGCGCGTTTGGTAATTGAGCAAGCACAATGCAGCAGTCAGAGGACAAAAACATTGTAGATAACGGCAGAACATTTTCTATATTTGTATTCTAGTTATGCTCTCCCTGAATAATTCAGCTTTCCCCTCTGGAGCAGTTCACAGCTAATTAACAAAGAAGTGTGGTGCCAGGGCAGACTAGTGGATCTGACGCAGGCCCTGTGAGTGATTTAGCCTGTGTATGAAGCAGGGGACCGATCCATCTAGGATTTATTGACAGAGCGCTGCTACACTGACGCCCAAATCACTGATGCATCATGGGTTGATTAATTGGAGGTGGGGGAAACACTGCAGATGAGTTAATGAAACTGCCACGCACCCAAAACAAACAAAAAAAAAAGGAACAAAACCTCACCCCGCAATCATGAGTTTTATAATTTCCCTAACACGCTACACAAGCACAGTACGTGTATATTCTTTAGCTGTCAAGATGAATTCTAATTACCTTCCGAGAAATCCACAGCGAAATGCTCGTGCATGTCGGCTCTGTCTGTTCGGTTACATCTATAGGTTTGTTGAAGTCCCAGCGGAGAGACCTCTGTTTGACTTCATTGCTCCCCTGTCAGCCGAGCCGGCTCACTGCGGCCCTGCAACGAGCACTCACTGGAGCAATCTGATCAAACCTTGCTCTGTCTGCATTCACTCTCAATTAGCAGTGTTGCTAGGGGGGATAAATGCATTTGCAACAGCTGTTGGAGTGTCTAAATTTCCCCCGAGGCGGAATTCTCCATAGATTCACCCACGGCATCAGAGAAAGTTAAAAGTTGTCGACGTTACGAGGGGAAGGCTGAGGATGAGAGCAGAGCTTTTCATATGAATGAATGAGCATCAGATAGCTGACATGTCACAAACTGATGGGCTGTAACATGTCAGGGATTTAACAGCTGCTGCGAGCTTTGAAGGATGGCTTGTATGTAGTTCTAGTCAGTCTGCAGATCATTTGAATTTGTCCAGGTTCTTAGATGTCTGTCAGAATTGACATCTATTTGCGGAAAGTGCTGCAGCTCAAGTTCTACACAAGTGCAGTTTAGAAGTGCTTGAACTCGAGAGCGTCCATTATAGGAGACTTCATATATGAACACATTTCAGGGGTATTTATAACTATAGTGGTGCAGATTAGGATTGTCTACAACACGGTAGCTTACAAAAAGTGCCAAGTAAACTTATGTTAATGCACCAGTAATATTAGTCCAATAATATCCTAGTGGTGCAATGCATGTGTGATAATATAAGGGTTGATCAGAAAGTTGAGAGACACACATTTTTATATAATATGTCTGCAGGGTGGTGCAGTTGGTAGCACTGTTGCCTTGCAGCAGGTTCGCGTCCCGGTGGGGGCACCGGAATCTTTCTGCGTGGAGTCTCCATGTTCTCCCCGTGCAGCGTGGGTTCTCTCCGGGTTCTCCGGCTTCCTCCCACACAGTCCAGAAACATGTTGAGGTTAATTGGTGATTCTAAATTGTCCGTAGGTGTGAATGTGAGTGTGCTTGGTTGTCTGTCTCTCCTTCACCCTGAGTCAGCTGGGATAAACTCCAGCCCCCCGTGACCCTAGTGAGGATTAAGCAGTGTATAGATAATAGATAGATAGATGGATGGACCAACACACCTGTATCTGGAAGGTCCAGTCATTGGTGAATCAGTAGTCATGACTACAGCTACACCATGAAGACAAAAAACACTCCTAGAAACTCTGTGGAAAGGTTATTGGAAAGCATAAGACAGGGGATAAGTCAAGAAAATATCCAAGTCACTGAGTATCCCTTCGATTACAATTAAATCCATCTTGGACGAAATGTGTCTCATGTGTAAATCTGTCTCTAAGTGTAGCCCTGTGATAGACTAGCGTCCCCTGCCTTCGTCCTAAGGCGGCTGGGATAGGCTCCAGCCCCCCCCCCCGCGACCCTCGTTAGGATTAAGCGGTGGACAGATAATGGATGGATGGATGTCTGTGATGAGCGCTGAATCTCTTAAACTGTGTCAAATTGGTGACCCTTCAACTTCATTTTGGGGAAGAACCGAGAACGTCGATTTTGTTGTTGTGTCAAAAAACATGCGTTGTTGCTGAGCACACAACACCTTAAGATGTTGCAGCAGAACTTTGCCTCGACAGGCTGGCCACAGGGGAGAAATCCCCAGGGAGAAACCACTTAAATGTTAAAGCAAACAACATGCATGCTAATTTCTGGAGACTGCTCTTCTCTAAATGTCTCTAAACTTCTGCTTCTTCTCTTGATGGTTGCCACAACCCCACCTCGTATCACCAGCGTCGATCCTGGACATGAAAGTTGTCTCGTCCTAGAATCTGCTGATAGCACCGTCTCTGAACTTATTGATCAACCCTCCTATGATCCCTACTGGACATTTACAGATCTACATGCTGGAGCAGGACTTTACAGATTGCTACCTTTATTCCACTTTGTTTTAATCCTAAGAGCTAAATGAGAAAATGAATGCAGCTTGTTACCTTCATGCTAAGACTAGAATTGAGCAGAAACCACTTGTCTGTCTCTGAAAAAGCGAACCTCGTGGAAACACCACAGGGATGATAAATTGTCTTTCCTCTTGAGGCTTTGTACAGATGTCATGTGTTGATCAGCGAGCTTTTGAGCTGAAGGTAGGCGGATTACGCTCCCTTGCTTGTTATACATAGAAGCAGCTTCTAGGTAGCACAAGCAATTACAGCCAAGGCTAAAATGGCAGAGCAGACTGTTGACTGTCTCGAAGAAGGAAGAAAGAAAAAAACTCCACGACAATGGACCCAAAGATGGCACACACCCCCTGAACCTCGCAGTTCTTTTGGATCAATGGTGAGGAACAGTGAGAGCTGACTTTTTTCATACAGTCCAAATCAGACACAAATACTTAGAAACAGGATCAGAGGTGCGAGTTAGTCTTTTATCCATAAAAAGACGCCCAAGTGTGATATTTGCCTTGCACACTAAAAATGATGTGGTGTTTTCTGTCCTCACTCCTGGTGCATTATCTGTTTCTTTAAAATGATAATCTCTTCACTGCCTAATGAAATTAGCATCCCAAAGAACATTATGATACGAGTGTCCTCCAGGTTTATCGAATAAAGGTATGAGCATGCATGCAAGGGAGCTATTAGCTTTGGATTGCCTCTCATTAGCGAGAAAGTGGCAAACGTGCCGCTCGGGCGCAAAGTGTATCTACAGAGCAAAATGGGAGGCTGAGCAGGAAGAGGATCTCCATATTAACGTGAGAAAATGGCAGCCATTACGCAAGAACATCTCGACATTAGCGGCTGAATTAATTGTCTGAACGTATGCAGACGGCCCGCGCTGCGAGCACATCGTGCATGCATAAACAAACACAGCCTTTCTAGTCTCTGCGGGGGTGTTCCATTAGGAACCTCGCAGGCCAAACACATTCAGGATGAGAGGAGGAGGGGTTGCCATTCATCCACTAACTGAGCCACGAGCTGTAAAGACACTAGTTAGGAGGCGGTGAGGACACACAGGTCGCCCTCGCTGCTTCCCGCCGCTCTAGTCTCTCCATTTGGTTCATTATTGATAAAGGAGCATTCACTCAGCGTTGTAGTGCTGTACTGACGTCGGTGAGAACAAGCCTCAGTGCTGCCGTGAGAGCTCGAGAGCAAAGGTACGCTCTGCCAGCAGCTACCTGAACTATGGAGCTCCACTCAGCTGAAATGACATCCAGCCACGTCTATAACAATAACCAGTCAATGGGTGCTTCTAATTAGCTCACAAATCACCCAACATGGGAAGCTGTCATCAGATATCGATAAACGTCATCAGCGTATGGACGGTCAATAAAACTGAGGCAGTGTTCGGTCGTATGTTCAAAGGAGGAAATCCAAGTGAAACCCAGAAATAAAAAGTATTCACCCAACTCACAAGTTTTCCTCTTTCAGTGCTTTTCAACATTGAATCAGGGTAAATTTAATTATGCTTTTAAGACCAGAATTAAGAATCAAGTCTTTCATGTTGAAGTAAAAGCAATTTCTCTTAATTAGCCTCATACATCTGGGTGCTGCAATTATCTCTCATTCCTCTTCTTTGCTAAACTGCTCCAGCTCTGTCAGGTTGCACAAGGATCAGGAGTGAACAGCTCTTCTGAAGTCCAGCCACAGCTTCTCAGTTGAACTGAGGTCTGGACTCTGATTCAGCCGCTAACACACAACAGTCACCCTGTTGTCTTTAAACCATTTCTGTGGAGCTTTGACTGGATGCTTCGGGTCATTGTCCAGGTTGTCCTCCAGTATTTTTCAACCCTTTATTTACCATTTCAGGGTAAAGTTCCAGGGCCTGCTGCCTGAGAGCATCATGATGCTGCCACCACCGTGCTTCAAGGAGAGGATGTGATGATGTGCTGTGTTTGCAGCCTGTTAAACATAGTGTCGTCTTATGACCGAAAAAACTCACATTTAGTCTTATTAGATCTGAGAACCTTCTTCCAATTCACTTCAGAGTCTCTCACATGTCTTCTGGTGAACTCTAATCAAGATTTAATATGAGCTTTTGTCAGCAGAGGCTTTCGTTACTACTCTCTTATTAACCTTTGACTGGTGACAGTTGTATGCACGCTCTCTCCTCTGAAGCTTGTACCGTAAATTCTGGACTATAAGCTGCTACTTTTTTCACACACTTTGAACTCTGCGGCTTCAACAATGATGCAACTAATTCATGGATTTTTACGAATTTGCCTTGAGACCAAAGTGACGTTGAGAGCAACAAGAGAGACTGAGGAAGTGTGTGACGAAGTCATTCTGAGGCTGTTCAGTTCCGACACTGAAGAACTTTAGTGGTTTTAGTGCGCAGGAGGAAGATGATGATAGCGATCAATGACTTCTCCTGGTAGGATACTGTATTTTTTATGTTTTTAACCAGCTGTGTTACAGGCAGTGTTCAGAAAAAAGCATTTACGTATTTGTGACACCTGCGGCTTATAGACAAGTGCAGCCTGTATGTGTACAATTTTTTTCTTCTTTTTAAAGTCAGTGGCTTATATTCAGGTGCACTCAGTAGTCTGGAAATTGCGGTAACTCCATCAGAGGAGTCACAGGTGTCTTGGTGGTCTTCCTCATTAGTCTCTAACTAACTCACTCTGTTATAGGCAGATTTACACATGAGACACATTTCGTCCAAGATGGATTTAATTGTAATCGAAGGGATACTCAGTGACTTGGATATTTTCTTGACTCATCCCTGTCTTATGCTTTCCAATGACCTTTTCACACAGTTGTTTGGAGTGTTTTTTGTCTTCATGGTGTAGCTGTAGTCATGACTACTGATCCACCAGTGACTGGACTTTCCAGATACAGGTGTGTTGGTCCATCCATCCATCCATCCATCCATCCATTATCTATACACCGCGTAGTCCTCACTAGGGTCATGGAGGGCTGGAGTCTGTCCCAGCTGACTTAGGGTGAAGGCAGGTTCACCTGGACAGGTCACCAGTCTATCACAGGGCTACACTTAGAGACAGACAACCAAGCATACTCACATTGACACCTACGGACAATTTAGAATCACCAGTTAACCTCAACATGGTTTTGGACCTTGTGGGAGGAAGCTGGGGAACCCGAAGAGAACATGGAGACTCCACGCAGAAAGATCCTGGTGCCCCCACCGGGACGTGATCCAGCGACCTTTTAGCTGCGAGGTTACCACTGACCCACCTTGCAGCCCAGGTCTGTTTGTACTACAGTCAATTGAGACACTTTTACTGCACTCAGATGATCTCTATTCTTTAACTGTGTGACGTTTAGCACCCATTGGATGCACCTGTCTGTGTTGAGCTACAAGAGTCACTTTAAAGTGGTGAATCCTTGACTTATTTTCACTAATTCTAATTAATTAGCATCACTTTTTTGACCACAATTCACTGCTGAAAACAGTAAAAGAGGGGAAAATACTTTATATAAGCCTTTATACAATAGAGACAAACAGATGATCAGTAGGTAGTTACCAGCGTCTCTTTCAATAAGACGTTGAGCTCCGTGTGGCCGTGACTCTTGGCAATCTCGGTGGGAGTCTGTCCGTGGCGATTGGCGGTGCGCAGCGCTCGGTCAGCGCCCGGACACTGCAGAAGGAGGCCGGAGACGCTTCTGAATCCGTACTGAGCGGCGAAGTGAAGCAGCGAGGGGACGTCTGCATGGCGGAGCTCTGCTGCGGACATTTGCCCATTTTGATTGGGTGCGAGAAGGAATTCATATTAAGCCTGGTTACGGCTGAAAGTGAACAGCTGCACATTTATGCGACCTTGAGAACTCGCAAGAACTGGCATTACTTCGTTTCCAGGTAATAAGTGGAAGGTGATCCGTTGCTATCTAACACATCCAAGGAAAGACACCTTGGAGGCAGTTATTGACCTGTTTGTCATGGCAGCGTTTCCCTCTGCCCTTTTTAGCAGAGTTAAAGATCAATCTCAGTCGCTGATGAAGCCATCAATCTGCCACATAATGAGCAGAGAAATAATGGAAAGCTTTTTTTTTTCCTTCTTTCCATGGTGGGTAGTGTGCATCATGCAGGAGGAACGTAATCCAACTGTGAGCAGCATCATCGCATAAACACACGGTCAGAAGGAAAGAGGGAGTTAGTTGTAGTAATGTGTTATCGTAAAAAGTTCAAATGATGCTTTCGACTTATAGTATTTTATAGATTCACTGTTAACTACACGTTCTGTCAACAAAGCTTTCCAGACGGTTTTTGCTCATGTAGCTCTGAAAGTAGAATTTAAGGGAAGTTGGTTGTGTTGAGCAGTCCAACAGCGCCGTACCTCTTTCAGGTGTGTTGTCACTCTGCAGCCCCTGAAAGCCTCCGGTGGGCATCCCCTCCAACAGCATGGAGGCCAGCTTCTGATCCAGCTTGTCCAAAGAGGACACCTGAAGAGCCTTGAAAGCCACACACACAAAGAAGACTTTTATTCCTCAACAACCAATACAAGCAAAAAAAACATAAATAAATAAATAAATAAAATGTTGGATTTGGTCAACAAATGAAAGCACCATCAAGAAAAAAAAAAAACCCAGTGGGAGTGCTATTTCTTGAAGAGGAGCAGTAAAAGTGCCAGTTTGAATTTAACCGTCGCACACATCAGAGCGCCGTCTTGCCAGTCTACGCTTTTAGTTTGAAAATTCTTCTCTTGGCATCGCTCAAGTTTGCCTCTTCAGCAGAAGAGACCTAATCAAATCAAGTGTTCGTGGCTGGAAGAAGGTTGAAACCTGCTGCCTCTTCAGTTTGAGAAAAGGCGACAGTAAACAGTGGCTCACATAAACCTCGGCAGAAATATGCTTCCTTCTTTCTTTCTTTCTTTTTTTTTTTATTCGCACGTCTTTTGTAATGGCTTGATGCGGATCGATTATAAGCAGCGTTTCAAGGCGGTGATTGACTAATTTCTATGACTGAGTTACATAACGATGAGTCACTAAGTAGCATAACACATTTAAAGTGCCTCAGAAGAGTTACTTTTGTTGAGAAGAGAGAGAACAGGAGTGCATTCAAATGGGCTTCCTGCATTACTGAATCAATGATTGACTGTGGTTATTTGAATAAATTTGCAAGTGTTATAACTTGAAAGTTCAAGGTGTGCTCGCTGCTCATTTTATGCCAGCATATGTTCGCTCTGCTTTCTGTTTCACAATGTGGCTGCTGTGAAATAAGGCAGGATGTAAATGCACATCTCTCTTGAGCGCCGTTGGAAGCCAGAAAGTGTCACAAAACCAAAGCTAGCGTTCATTTAATGGAAGATTTTTCCACTGATTAAAGAGTGAATGAACAGATTAAAGCAGCAGAGTTTTTAGTCCCCAGTTTGGGTCCTACACTTCCCATGATGCAACCCTATTTTTTGTGACACCATCTTCTTCCACTTCATGCCACCATTTTTATTTTTTTTCTAAATGTGTAGTCATATGGTGCCATCAGGGTTGTTTCCTGAGTCGGGCAGAGGATTAGAAATCCCCTAATCGCTGACCTTTTGGGGGAACCAACGGTGGAATTCCCCGTCATAAAAACTGAGATAAGGTACGAGTGTGAGGCAGCCCTTTACCTCACACATGAAGCCTACGGGGTCGGCTACCCTCGACAGGAGGCAGGTGATCTCCTCCAGGCTGCTGTAGTACTGCAACTGCGTCTCGCTCAGAGCCACGCCGCCGCTAAAGACGGTCACGTTGACGTTCCCCGCAGGAAAATCTGCAAGAAATACCATAGAGGCAGAGTGGAAATATCACAGTGCTTCATTGTTCTTTATCATACGTTCCCGTTTTGTTCACCTGGTGCCCTGACACACAGGATTCGCTCGTTCCACTGGACGGGCTTCAGTCTCAGCATCTGGTTTTCGCCGCTGAACTCGACCTCGGCGTCGCTGCTGGCCGCCTCATTCCTCAACAGAATGAACACCTCGGCGGAGCTCTGCCAAACAGACGGCACAGTGGATGTAGTCTTTGTGCTTTGTGAATAAAGGGAATGGCTCACTAGCGACTAGATGAGCGCCTCACCCCGCAGGGAACTCTGGGAGGAATGACCATTACGCTGGATCTGGCGCTGTCAGTTCCAGTAGGCTGAGTTTGTTCCGCCTTCTGCTCTGATCCTGATGGTTTGTGTGTCAAGGGGCCGGCATTCGCTGCTGAGGCTGGAACACCTGTAAAAGAGTCACTGGATGTCTATTTATTAGTCATAGGATGCAGCAACAGTTTCTGCAGAAGAGTCTGTTAGAGACCAGGCCACGTGTATTGTTAGTGTGCTAGCTGGACCGCCACCTCAGCTCTAAAGGTGTTGTTAACATTTAGCTTCTGCACAAATCTGTATTAACACTCATAGTCCCCAGAGAATGAATCCTACGCTGCAAAAAAGGCTGTTACTTTACATGTTTCTTCCTGTTTTGTTCACAGAATTCACAGAAAGAAAGTACTCATCTATAGGCTAGCAACTATAACATCCACATCAAAATTAATTCTTCTACAATGAATTTAAATCAGCTTGTTTCAGTATTTTTACATTTTTAACAAGTGTTAGTATCACTCTAGATACATCATTGGTGGACAAAAAGGTTCTTTTTAAAAATATTTTTATCTAGAGTAGGTAAAACATAAATCAACAAAAACCTTCCATGTTTTAGTTTGTGGACAGATTAACTATTTTAAAGAGTTTTTTTTACTGCAATTGTTTTTTCAGCTTATTTTACAGACTTTTCCTATTTTGGGAAATTACAAACAATATGAAGTAATATCACAGAAAAAGCATTAACAATTTACACATTAACCATAAAAAAGGCCAAAACTGTAAATAACATGAACATTAAAATCAGCATTTTTACAAATGATAACTCATTTTTGACCATTAAGTTAATTTAAGTTTTTAAGTTTGTTTTTTTCCCCTGTAAATAGATTTTGTTTGTTGTGTTGACTTACAGTTAGTAACTAGTAAAACTACAGAAAAATACTTTAATTTAAAGGTTGACTGTAGAAAACAACAAAAACAACAACAATAAAAACACTCCAAACTGTAAATAATGTTCACATCAAAAATCTGTATTTTAACAAATGGTAATTTGTTGTTTTTTTTTTTATAACAATACAGCACATTCTTTGTTATATTTTAGATTTACATAATGTTTGCAGTATTTTCTCAGTAGATACACCATTAAATAACAGAAAGCATTATATTTTTACTGTAGGTGCACTATTAAATAATCACAAATGTCTTTTTTTTCATTAAAATGTCATGATTTTTCTACAGATAGACAATTTAAATAAATAAAAATGTCCTGTTTTTTCCCCCCTGTGGACACACTTTTAATTACAAGAATTTTTTCCATTTTCTGATGGTAGAACAAAGTCTGGCTGATAAGCTGCCAGCTTATTAACTGTTATTTTACAGGTTTATTTCTTATTAATGTAGAACGTGACAGCATCAGCTGCACCATTAACTCTGAATGTACCAAAACAACAACATCAAAATAGCCAATTATTGGACTGCAGTACTATGAGCACTCAAGAAGTAGAACAACAGAATATGAGCTGAATTCTACGTTTTGTGATTTGCACTAATTGAGCCTTTCACAGCAGTTGTCTCAGAATTACCTGCCCAGGGGGAGGTGCTTTATTTTCTCCCTCAGAAACATCTCTGCACATTCAGAGTGTCCTGAAATGACTCTGTGATTGTTAAGCAAACAGAAACTGAAACGTTTTCTTTTATACGCGCTGTCTTATGGTTGAGTTTGGTTTTATGGCAGTTATAGAAACCAAAGTGATCTGTCTCTACTGGAGCCGTGCATCAAACACCTACACTCACAAACAAACAAACAAACAAACGGCATCGTCCTGCATGAACAGCTCAGGTACGTCTGGGTTAAAACCTCGCCGCTCATGGGATCCTGGTTTGAACCGCTCGGCTGTATCAGTGCCATGAAGTGATGAAGAGGGCTCTTGAATTTGCATGGCTCGCAATGAGTAATCAGTGGAGGCCACATTTGCATCCAATGTTCCTCTCCTGCTCACACACCTGTTTAAATACAAGCCCACTCCTCCGCTTTATGATTTCATACAAACGGCGCAATTAGGAACAAACAGGCAAGGAGGCCGGGGGTAACTGGCGGGGCAGATGAGGACGTGGTCGAGGTGCACACGGTTTGAGCAGGTGCTGAGAAACGCTGGGTGTCAATCTGCAATTCTCTTGAAAAAAAAAAAAAGCCGGCAAACAGGTTTCCAAGCTGCTGCTCCGGCGTCCTCGCACATAATGAGCATTCTTTTCCACTCGCATTTATGGCAGAAGAAGAGCAAGGCCGTATGAATTCTCTTTTATTCCCTTTTCCCTTGAAAAAAAAAGAAGTGCTGTGGGTTTTTAAAAACTGGGATCAACAGTGTGACTGGAATTCAATTTGTCATGCGTTAAAATACTTGTTTATGTCGGCGGAGGCTTTGAATACAAAACAGATGTTCAATGAAGTGACTTTAGAATAATTGTCACCGTATTAAGAGTTTCAGAGAAGATTTTTAATGCTTTTGTTGGGGGGGAATAATCAAGATCAATAAGTCAAGGATGCATTTTTGAAACGGCAGACAGCATTTGGAAAGGATTAATGTTTCCAAAAATTAAAAGGAACTGATGTTGTAGAGTTGTAGGGAAATGAAAGGTTGGATTTCACACCTGATTGGCTCATGGAATAGGGTCTGAAGGGTCTTTGAGGGCATCCAGGACAACAATAGTACTGGTTCAGTGTATTCTGCAGAAGGTGGTGGATTTATTTTGCTCTTGTACCTTCGTTTTTTGTGCTTTACCACAAGAAAAATCTCACATCCAGCAGGCCCAGGTGTATTTCTATACAGATGATCCTCGTGTTTATATCATATGTATATCATATTAGACATTTTTTCATGTTACAAATATTTTTATATCCTCACTCTGTCAGTTTTAGTACTTCTGTGAATTGTTCTTGTGCTGTAAATGTTTTGTGCTCAGTGTTGGGATAACAAAGTAAGCCTCCATGGACTTTTCTGAGCCATACCTTTCCTCACGATGTCGGTGACGGCCGACAGGTACTCCGGAGCGTCCTGCTCGCTGGAGATCTGCAGGCACTCATCACCGTTCAGGGGCACCAGCTCCAGCAGAGGGCTCAGAGTGTCCACCCCGCACAGCAGCACCACCACATGGGCCGCCGGGCTCAGCACCCGGGCCAGGAAGAAGCGCCTCATCTGGCACAGGCTCTCCAGCATGCCTTTGGAGAGGATCAGCAGCTTGCAGGTGTAGCGGGACAGCCGGAGGAAGTCGTCCCTGCGGCTGGACGCCGTGGCGATGTCGTAGCAGCAGATCCCGGCCTCCGAGACGGAACCGGTGAAAAGCGAGCACAGGTAGGTGGCCCATTGCTGCGCCTCGGTCTCGTAGATGATCAGCAGGTCCTCAGCTGCAAGGAAGAGTCATGTTATGCTCAAAAAGTTCAGCATCCTGTGGAGCATCGAATACACATTAACAAGCATTTTTCACAGCTTTTCCACCAATCTGTTGCTCTGAGCGTCGCGAAAGAACCATAAATCATCACATATTAAAGCATTAATCACTTTCATTACCCGAGTAAAAATGTATGCAATAATGAATGAATGAATAAATAATAGCTTCACCTGTCTGGCTCATTTCTTTCCGTGTGCAGGTCTCACGCAAATCAGCCGGAGCTCAGATAAGAGGGAGTTTCCTGCAACGCCAAAGCAGACAAAGATCGTTCAGAAAGATAACAGCGAACAAGTTAAGATGTGAGGTTTTGATTTTGAGAAATATGCTACAGGACTAGTTTTGGAGATAAATGTGTTCGGTGCGAGTTAATGCGGTGGAATAAATCCCAACTGACTGTGATTTAGATGTCAGTAGTTTAGCTGGTGCACACGATCAGCAGGTCAGAATGTAACTGTGGTGAAAGGTTTGAGTAAAGAAGGCAACACAGTGACGCTAATGCTGTAAATTTTAACTTTATGAAGACGATTGTTGAGTTTTCTCATTACAATTCCAACAATGTAATCATGAAAAATCCCTCTTTTAACCAATCTACCACATAAAGCCGGAGTAGGCATGTATGTAAGCAACAATAAAAATGGAAATAACAAAGGTCAGAGTGCAGCAGTCGACAGGTGAGCGGAAAGCGAAGAGACTTGACCGCAGTTTAATTAAGTCTGGGTGCAAAGCAGAGCAGTGGAACCTGAGGCGTGTTACGACTAATGATCTGCTGTGAATGTCTGTAGAACAAGCGTAGATAAAAAAAAAAAAAAAAAAAAGGATGTTCTGACCTACCATGCACTCAGTCCCTCATTGCAGAAAATGTAAAAAACCCAGAGCTTCATTAACTGCCTCCACCTGCCAAACCACTGCCTCGCGCCACGCCGCCGTCTCCCTAATAGCAGTTTGTCGCCGTTTATTTCCCCCTTTTGAGCGGCGGCTGAAAGGCGCGACTGTTGGGAAAGCGAGCAGGTGAGAGTCGAGGTCTCCTTCATGCAAATCTGGGGAGTGTCCAATGGCAGGTCGTTCTGTTATCGCGCATGCAGATCCACACGCGAGACGCTGTCCGGTCCAGACACTACAACAAATAAAGTCCTCTATAGACACCTGTCAGATGAAGCTAATAAAGCAGCAGGTGAAACTGGACCTGTGTAAACAAACAAGCTAGTTCTGTCCTGAAGGGGGTGCTAGCGGAGAGGACATGGGCTAGTTGGAACAATAAGGGGTTTATCTTCAGGGTACCAAGAGTATTCTGAACAGCTTTCACTCCAGAATTTTTTATTTTTTTTTAATTTTTTTATAGTGGGATAGATCAAGATATAATGCTTTGTCCTTGAGGTGGCGCTAGGGGGACCATGTAGAAAGTTAGAAATTAAAAGGCGAGGGAGCTGCAAACACTAAAGATTCATCCTCTGGGAGCTACAGTCCTCAGATGTATTCATACCCTTCCACTAAAGAAAATGCAAAATTCGCAATAGTCACTCAAATAACTAGAAACTGAAAAAAGTAATAATAAATAAAAATTTGCTAAATTATTCTTTAGTGAAATAAGATGGTGCTTTTGAATTGTGGTTGAAAAGAATAATTTTTAAAAAACAAACAAAACTGTCCCTAGAGCACTTTGCTGTTGAAAATAAAATAGCTGTCAACAGGTGCAGACGTCTGAGAGTTACAGAAAACACTTGATTGGCTCAAAGGGTTGTTCAACAAAATATTAATTTTCGGGTCCCATCATCTTGTTTGATTTTATTTTATTTTTTTAATTTTAATATTTCTGTTGAACCTCAATCCAAAAGCAACGCCATGATTTTCATTACATTTTTATTTATTATTACTTTTGTCAATTTCTGCTTATTTCAGTTGTTTTTTTTCCTTCTTTAATGTTAGGGTATGAATACATTTGAGGACGACTGTATGAATAATTTATCACAAGCTTGAGTCATAATCTGATAATTTTTGATTTATTCTGTTAAAAAAATTGCAATTTATTTACGTAATTTTTTATCTAACTTGTAATGTAAATTCTTTACTGTCTCATTTTTTGGACTTTGACTTTGCTAACAAGTCAAATATTGTATTTTTATTGCAGTATTTTGACTCAAATGAACTCACACAATGACAAAACAATAACAGTTGTCCGAATTCTTGGTAAAGCAAGTCATTAGTGTGAGTCAACGTCGACTTCCTCAGGGCGCGGACACTCAGACAGCCCCTGAGTCAAAATGTGTTGGTCTGCCTATGTATTAATAAATGATTTTTACATTAAAATTCAAAGTGCCTCGGACACTCTCTGGCCGTCCGATCAATACTAAGGATTTCCATTAATAGGAAGTGGGACAGGCATTATCTTTTTATCTTCACAGACTGCTGCTGGCCCAGTTCTTGAAGAGCACCGGGTTTCTTCACCGTTTTCCTCCCCGACAATATCTGTATTTATTTTAAAACATCGAGTTTACAGCTCTGTATATTTGTGGTCTTACATAGCAGCAGAACAGCTTGTGTTGGCCGTAGAAGAATGTAAATGGAAAACAACAACAAATCCAGATGTGAGGAACAGATGGCAATCCATATCTATTATTCTTAATAAGTCTTTCTTAGTACATAAGAAGGAAGGAAGAGAGAAAAGAAAGCTGGTATCAGTAATAGAACATAAATATTAGATAAAGTCTGCAGGTTTACAGCAAACATTTAATCTTCTGATGGATCCTCAGGTCCATCCAGATATCCCCAAGTTATGTAGTTATGTATATATTGTTTATATATGATGTACATAATCTTCATTCTTTTTTGATAATACTCATAACTGTACATAACGTTTATTTTTGACAGTTGCTTATTTGACATATCTCATGTGTTAAGTGGACTGGATGAGCTCATCTCTGATACCTGCATGTCCTTTTTATTTTTAGCACTGTTGTGGATGAGAAGTGATTTTTATTGTACTATGACTGCACAATGACAATAAAGATTTATCTTGGTATCTTATCTGTATACTGCCAAACACACTGACACATTTTAACCTCTGTGGCCTCATCTGCTGTGTTTTTATTGTGGGGTGAATATTGTTAAAATAGGACACCTGGCAAATTCAGACTGTTGAGCTCTGCAATGACTGCAAGGAAGACATAAAACAACCCAAATACACTTTTTATGAACTGCTGAAAAGGAATTTGATGATGAAGAAAACATTCCCATGGGTATGACATTGACAACATGGGTGTAATATTACATATCGTCAGTCGTCTCCAGAATCAAAGTGATAACTGATGTGACAGCTTTGTGACATTAACACTGTTCAGCATATAAACATCTAAAAAGAAAATCCAATTTATTTAGTAACAGGATGTAATTATGTGTCAACATTCCAAGAACCTGTTCTATATGTTTGACCTTCTCAGAGAAGCACATTTTGTTGGTGTCCCATTTTGCCAGTTATGGTGAAGTGAGACACTGATCTCAGTCTGTTTAATGGGGAAAATTTTATTTTGAATTTTTAAAAAAATTACAGTTTGAAAAGAAATCACATTTCAAAATGGGATCAAATACAACTTAACTTAAATTTAGTGTCAGATAGCTTGCTGGAACTAAGAAGAGCAAGCATAGCATCCCTGTACTAACATGTATGAAATAATTTAAACAAACATATTCATATTTTTTTAGATGAATGAATAAGTAGGTCTGTGTGGTGGTCATGGTCGAAGTAGTTTTAAAAAATTAACAGTGAAAAATTTGAATAAAGATGAACGAATGAATTTAAAAAAGAATCTAAATACTTGTCAGTGGTTCCTGTATATATATTTCAGTTGTGTTGTTGTATTTTCATCATATGATTATTTGAAGACATTGAAATCACATCATGACATTATCTTTTTTTAATTTCTCTGTTTTCATATCAAAGTATAATATTTATATAATGTATCAATTCTGTTTTTTAAAAAATTATTATTCTTTAATTTTTATCGTCTGTATATTCTTAGAAAGAGGCTTCGTGTTTACAGCAGATGTTATGGAACAATTTGGTGAATTATTACAGAATGCACATTTTCAGATTTTTAATATTACTCACATTTGCATTAGCCAGTTGTGGTGTTATCTTCTTCACAGTGCAGCACTCCCTATTATTTTCCCCTACGTATTCTAAGCGTTTTTATTTGTCTGTTGTCTTGCTGAAGCAGAAATGACTTCAATACTGTCTTCCAGAAAAATCTTTAACCTCTTAAGACCCGAACTCTTGTTTGATATGCTTTTTTTTTTTTTTTTTAAATTCTCTTTGCTATTTGATATAGCAAAATAGCAGAGAAATAAAAAAACTAAGAAAATCATTTTAAAAAATATATTTAAAAAAATATAAAATACAAGGAAAAAGAAAAAATATATTTAAAAAATAAATAAAAAAATATATATTAAAAAATTATAAAATGAATAATAATAAAAAAAATAGTAATAAAATAAAAAATTTTATTGAATACTGTGGTAAAATAACCCAAAATGTGATGTCCACATTTTAAATTCACCTAAGCATGTAAATATGAACAATTTGACAAAAATCGACCACATTATCTCCCTGCAAACCAATATAAATGATTGATCTTTTAAAAAAATTAATCATTAATTTTTTTATTGTGCATACCTAAGCGCGAAATCGATCACGAGTTTATTGCAGGTTATCCACAGCGGTTATTAATACCGGAGTGACACAGAAACAGCCCTTTGATGCGAGTCAATGCACAAGCGGGGAGGCGGGCCGTCGCTGTTCCACCAATGGGAAGCGCCGCTGCCCCCTCGGTGGGGCGGGACTTAAGGAGCAGCCAAGTTCGGGTGCACACTGCGCTCAGACAACTTGATCCAGAGTAACAGTAAATCAGACAGAGCAGCTCCTACAGCACCAGCAGTGAAATTGTAACCCTGTTGCAAGTATTTTTGGCCGCTGATAGGACCGAGTGAGATCACTGCGGTCTCTTTTCTCGGATAGACTCAAGAGTTGTTCGGCGAGAGCAACGCAGGGACCGTTTTCAGTCTCATTTCTGCTATATCTCAATTTTATATCACACTGGAAATGTCCGAAAACAAGCCGAATGATGAACCGAAGTTATCTACGACGGACAGGGTGGTGAAATGTGAGTGTGCTTTCTGTCTCTCTCTTTTTT